ATCGGATAAGGCATATGCATATGAAGACATAAGTCTGCGCTAAAAGAGCATACGTAATAAATTGGCTATCAACAAATCCGCGCTAAGTTCGACGTCAGAAAATATATTTCAAAAAATGACATAAACGCGAAAACGTTGGTTAGCCACAATTAGCTTAAGCAACGTGTGAAAGTTGAAAAAAGCTAATTCAGTTGAAGTTAAAATAGGGTGAAAGAATCAAGCATTAAGACAAGACAGCAAACCAACCATCTGAAACAAATAAACTCAGCAAACAAGCACGCGGTTAGTAATTCGAGTTTAGGGAACCTACCAACGCCGCACCGGTTCTCAGCAGCACACGTCGTTTTTTTCGAAGTTGTTCCCGAGAGCCCTCGCTCACGACTCACAAGACCTGCTTGACTCAGGCACTCGCGACCGCATGTACTACAGCACCATGCGCTCGATGTCGATGGCGCTTGCCGCTTCTCTGCATGCATAAGGTCTTTCTCCTGCACCTACGCAACTGCCCTCGTGATCAGATCGCGCCATGCACGCCGATCAACCGCCTTCGATTCCCATGACCTGCAATCAAGATTAGAACGTGAGAGGCTCATTTTGATCATGTACTGGTAACGAAGCTTCGGTTTCCCAACATGCCGGTTCCTAATACTCAGCTAACCATATAATAGTTTTTTTTTCGATATCCGTGTCGAATCCATACGGCTCACATGACCGAGCCACCTCAGGTGTCTTGGCAAAATTGTGCAGTCCACTGCATACATACCACTTGGGTGCAACATTTCCGTGTCCGCAACTCTGTCGAACCAACCGATACGCAAAACCCATTCGGAAACACTGTTGATGAAACCGTTCGAAATATCGCACATATCGCCAGTACATCGTCCATGTTTCACTGCCGTATGGAAGAACGGACAGCTACATGGATTTGTAGACCATCAGCTTCGTGCCAACGGTAAGCTGATGGTTGTTCCACACTCGGTACTCTAGCTTCACGAATGCCGCCGCTGCCTTCGACACGCGGATACTAAGCGCACTGTGAAGCTGCTGGTCAGTTGATACGGATCAATGCTAGGGTGGCAAATTATTATGTATGTTTCCAGTTCGATGGATACGTTTTAATCAAAAGGTTATCATCGCTTGCCGGCTTACAGTACGCATAAAGTGTAAAGTTTGACACTTGGAACACAGTGCTCAACTTTTGTCCCTCTTGTGACCACAATGGACAAGGCATTCGAAGAGAAATTTCGCTGGAAATTCTGTGGCTAGTGAACAATCCACACAAGTAACCGACTAGTGACTATCACGATGTCGACAGTTCATGTTGCACTCCGCAGGTTAGTAATGAGAGGGAGCATAGTTATAGTTCCAGTTGTTCCTCAGCCATACTGAATTTACCGGGGCTTATGAAAACGCACGTACTAAGCGGATGGAATGCGGAAGCACAGAGACGCCTATCAGAAGTTGCATTGCACATGGCCAATCTGTTGTACAGACGAAGTAAAATGTCAAACGCAACGGGAATAGTATGTCAGTGTATTAGTATATTACATCGGAAAGGAATCGGCGCATAGCGATAATCGTTCTATGAGCACCAGATGGCTGCACCCGGAGACGTACGATGCAGATCTTTATCAAATAGCTTATGGTGACAACAGAGTACACATAGGTATGTACAAACGTTGGAATATTTGGACATTTGCAAAACAATGTGAACACTGTTTGGGAAGTCGCATGTTTGGCAGTGGGCAGCGGGACTTAGTTGATGTCACCTGTCAATATCAAAGGTTGCGCATCAATCGTTCTTTGAGAATGTGCACGTACCTCGGGTAGCAGATGACTGGACCGATGGGCGACACAGAGCCAGAAGTGGACACTTCATCGCATGCTGTGCAATCTCTCCCATCAGCTACGCAAAACAGACTGTACATGTAGACGGCAACACCTAAGTGCACACTATTTCACTGTACCAGTAGTTATCCTTCTACCTAGCAGTTGCTTCACTATTGCTATACCGGGTTCCTTCAAATAGGGATGCGCAAGGCTGTCACGTCTAAATGTTGAAGAAAACATCAACAGTTCGTATTGGGTACTTATTCTCATGCCTGCGAAAGTGCTTGTTAACTTGCCCTTCAAACGAAACCCATACACGTTTGTCACACATTTATCATGATGTCTAATGTGTCTCTATCCAGTTTGTGATAGCTCACACTTCAGTTTGGACAAGCGCATGTGCATATATTGCATTCGAACTGCCATTGGACACGGATGATCCCAATCCATGTATATATGTATATCGAATGAATTCGACGAGGATACTCATACCGCTTTTGTACGACCAACTTAGTGCACGGAAACGGCACTCGGGCAAACCGACAATAACATTATCAGAACATGAAGAAGGTGAGTTTATGACAAACTCATGTTGATTACAGGTGTTGCGAATCCAAGTCAAATTTTGATCAATGGGAATTCCGTGGACTACTCCAAAGGGTGGTTGCTCAGGTGCAGAAGAAGGCACTATTACAGGTGGAATCGAAACACCATGAGTACGCTCCCATTCGATTTACTAATCTGGGTCAATAAGGCGGCGTATGTGGTAGGTTTGCCAGCGTGATGAGTAATCTTGCATTTCAGAAGTAGATGTTGCGCACCTGATGTGAATGTTGACAAGGTGCCTACCTGTCTATTACCCACTACCTCGTCCATACTGGCTCCAGGAGACAGCTGGTCGTCGCTAGAGGAGACGGAGTGCACCGTCCTCGTGCCGGTGCTAGGCTCAAAGAGTGGTTCCATCCTGTGTGGAACGGGCTACAGTCCAGCCACCGCCATACGTACGTCTGGTGTGCATGATTTCCCAAATAGGCCGGAATGCTTCTGTTCTGCTTGTTGAAGGAGTGTGGGCCGGCTCCGTTGATGAAAGGTGGCTCCCATTCACACGCCTCCCTGTCTTATTCCTTTGGGGTTACACCGGATATGGGGTGTGTGGATGGAATTATGGGTGGTGCAGCGCAAGCCACCCATGGTCCCCTTTGTAGGTGCAGGCGTTCTGTGACTGTCCCCATGGAGGTCACAGTGACAGCCAAATCCGGATACGGACGCAGCCTATATATATATATATATATATATATATATATATATATATATATATATATATATATATATATATACCGCCACCAAAAACCATGGAAATCAAAGGAACTTGCAGCTGTCGTAAAAGAAACCGGAACACATCAGAGAAGTCCCTGGTCTATTCAGAGGCTTCGATTCTGCTCGGTTGCCAAAGCGGAGATAAGTGTTCCACAACAGTTAGATTAGCTACCCGGGCTGGTAGTTCAGTTCCGCTTGTCAATGGGATGGTAACTAAGTACGTCGTGTGGCAGACACGAATGTTCCTGAAGCGACTTGATCCTACAGCTGTACACCATTGACCCAAATTGTTTTCCAGTCAAAATACTGAATCTTCTTGGGATAGTTTACTTTCACGGAAAAATATACATGTTTGGCCACCTCCCCCGCTGCGCCCAACCTACACAAAAGAGGGACAAGTGTACGTTCATTTGCAGATACAACATACGCCGTTTTCACTGAGCTCATGAATTCTCTCTTTCTATCACTCGCATAGCCAAGGCTAACGTACCTTTTACGAGCGGTAGCCAAGAGGTTACGGTGGTTATCCAGCAACAGCAACCTCCCAGTCTCATCAATCGTGTCCGCAGCCAGCTGATTTCTATTCACTATGTCACGAACCGTTGCCCCCGGTAGACACACGATGATAGTACTTTCACTAGCTATGCTGACCACATAGCAATCAACTTGGCGAACAGCTCTTTCTTGGACAAATACACACCACGGGATGTTGTAATTCAATTGGCCACGAATGTTCGTCACTTTTATTAAGTATCGTCAACTCCGTCTACGGAGAAGTTGCATTCTTTGGTTATTGCCTACTGCCGAGCTTGTCACCATCGTATCGTCGTAGAACAAGGGTGAAAATACCCGACGCAGTTAGCACCAAAAAGAGTCCAATCTGTTGCATTATCAAACAAAGCCGAAACCATCTTGTGTAACAGTCACAGTTAGGTCTACACTTTTTAGAACGCAGTGTTTTCAACATCGCATGCTCTGTTGTCGTGGTATCCAAGCATCCTTGATGCAATGATAACTAGTAGTTCAGAGATACAAGTCCGCACAGACCAGAGGGATAGGACGGAAATTATTCGGCTTAGCATGTGAGTAGAGTAGCGTGATTTCGAACGGTGGTGAACTGGTTTGACAGAGAGAGAGAGCAGTGAACGAATAGCTCACAGTCGCTAACGAACCTGGGCTGATGATGAGTGGAAAAAACCGAGTCAACTACTACAACTAAGTGATCTGACTCACACAGATGGAGAATGCTGCTGCTGCTGTTGAGTCCCAATTTTGAATGAGTCAAAAGTATCAGCGTTTGATTCAGTTACGGCTGATTAAAGATACACGACAGCAAGTAGATTCACATTTTAATGGTCATGGGATGCCAGCTTCCATGCGTGTGATAGCAAGCCGCGAAGGTGGTCCCATACACCTACCATCTGTAACTGGCTTTCCGACAACTGAGTTTCGAAGAAGACCATCAAACTCCCCATAAGTTCTTGTCTCATATCTAGCCATTTGCCTGTTTAGTATAATTCGTTCTGAGGTTCTTGGAAGTGTTATTCATTCGAGCACGATGAATAACTGCGACCCGCAAACCATGACACCAGGTTGAGGTCTAGCCACATTATGAAGTCTGTGAATCCACAACGGGGCCTGCGCGGCATTATAACAAGAGCGACCTTAAATGTAGAATCCTTTAATAGATAAGATGATCGCTTCACACGGTTTCCCCTTAAAAGAGGGATTAAAACATACCGCTGCGGACTGGAAGTGATTGGTAAGTGTGTCCAAGACACATGGTTGCTCTGTGTATGTAGCTCTGGCATTAATCTTTTTACTCAATGCATCATCGGGCAATAAGACCGAACACACTGACGAGAAAAATGTTGCATGTATGTCCACGAGGAAGAAAATAGGGTATACAATGTAGAAAGACAGGCTGCTGAGAAGCATAAGAAAACAGATTGAGTGAGTTCGTAAAAATTTTTATAAGAAAAAATACACCATTTCAGGGTTTTCGGGAATGCATGTCGCGCCAAATGAAAAAGGTAAGTTTGTCCACAATAGTGGTAATCACAAGTGGTAGAGGTGAGTGTTCGAAAAATAGAGACTCTGTTTGTTGCTTTGAATCTATAATGCGTTGCGGCAAGTCGGTTTGTATCGGATCACCCAAAGTACGAAATATAACGCGTAATTGAAAACTCTGAAACGATACGGTGGAAGGGAGTAAATGAAGGTCATATCATCTGAACGGAAAAAGAAATACCAAACGACTATTACTGCCACCCTTAGCCCGCGGTCTAAGGGTACCGTCAGGTCTCCCATGCTTACGCGGATTAGAACCAGTGACCTTCTGCTTAGAAGGCAGATGAAACCGACCGATGTTGGTATAAATTATCAGGGGGCCAGAAGTATGTAACCTGAGTGAAGGGTTGCACACAGTGCAATGTGTACGACAGCCAACTTTTGCCCGATTGGGAAGGTTGATGATGTATGCCAGCCTTACGATTAATGTGATTATCGGTTTGTTCAGTCGCTTACGGGTTGTACATGAAATCAAATCATACACCCGCTATATAGCCTAAATCACTGTCAAAGCACTCGTTTGTCAATAGATCTCGAAAGGATAACAGCGCATAGTATTGGGCTACCAACCATCAATGATTGGTATAGGTGATTATGCCCCAAGATTCGATCACGCCCTCAATGGTCAGAAGGTCCTCCAGTTCGACACCGTTTGAACACGTCACCAATGAAGCCGTGAGGATCGGACATGTCAGATCGATTCAGTGGAAGGAAGGAAGGAAGATAAAAAGGATGCCGGCACGTCGCACCGACGCCTCGTTGTTGCGCGATCAGAACGTCGGGAGTGAATTAGAAATACTGTGAAGTTGTTCACAACTACGCAGATTGGAACCAGTGACTTTTGGATTGTAAGGCAGACGGTTTATTCGTTGGACCACCGAACGGCGTTCAGTTCGGTGAATCAGCTGTGATCCGACCTCCGGACTGTGGTGGATGCAGTTACCTTGTAATGATGATAGACAGGTGATTATGAAACAAACTGAATGGAAAACACAAAAGGTTAACAAAAGGACCAGAATCATTAAGTGGGAGGGGTTAACCGCTGGAAGCAGGAAACCGAACGAGGAAAGGTTTAAAAGGAAGAGCTATGTCAGAAGAACATCCGCTGCGGAAAAATTCCTGCCATAAGCGATTGTCTGCCGTCAGCCGGTACGCAGTACCGACGCTTCGCTGCTGCACAACCACCACTAGCCAGGAGTGCACTAAGGATACTGTGAGGGTAGCCCCGTTCCCTCGCAAGTTCGAATCTGCGACCTCAGGACAAGGCAGGTTGAGGATCGTTAAGGCTATGGGCTCACCGTGTGTGAAGCGGCCGATATGTGCGATAACAACACCATCATCGATGGGGATGGCATCTGCTCATTACAACAAAGTAAAGAACAACAAGACTAAGACAGATGTGCAGATATTCGTACTCACCTTAAAGTTATCCTCTTTGGCACGTGGGTTAGAGTCCTCAACGACTTCCGTGTTTTGGATCCAAGAGAGCAACACGAAACCGGTCGTAAAATTAGGGCAAAAGAAGGCAATGTGATGGTCTACTTCGCATAACACCGGATTGGGATCGTTCGAAGGGGTCCCTTGAAAGAAACAGGCAAATGGAACCGAGTCTGACGTCATTTTGCCAGTGCTGGCGGCGGCAAGTCGGTTCGCTATAAATGCCAGGTTGATCGATTGTGCGAGTTCCGCAAAATGACACGCGCCGAACTGAAGTATTTGACAGAGTCGTAGATCCAGATCAAGCACGTTCAGTTGAAAAGGTGCGGAATGAACTAATTCCTAATGAAGGAAGAGAGTGATATCACGAATGAACCAACATAGAAAGTGCTGCACTAAGTGTACGTTGCAGTAACCAGCTACATTCTTGGTCAGCGATAATCTATCAGTGGCATGAGACCCGATTTAAAAATGTTAGTCTGACACATGAAGTTAACATTGACGAACAGTTTGTGTTTCTCCGAGAAAACGCGAAACAGATTTGGATCATCCCATGTGGTTTATGTAATCGCGGTATTTTTGTATTTCACTCATATGCCTAGTCCAGATAGGATGTACTAGGGAAAAAAATGAAGCGCCCAATATTGTCCGTGGTAGCAAAGACCTGCTGCAGCCGGATTCTGTCAGATAGTCGTTCAGTCTTGCCAGGACCAACGAGCGGCGCGCATCACTCCGAAACTGCGAGTTGCGGACCCATGACCATCCAGTGACGATTCAGGAATATCATGATTGAATATCAGCTGCGACGAACCTTATAAACGTGGCAACTGAGTGTTGTGGGCAGATGGCGTTCTGCGATTGTCTGAGGAGTCTCATAGAGTGGGCCTACTTGAGACAGATTCGGCTCACGAGTGTGACTGCAAACATCGACGAGGATTTGTTTAAGAATAGTCATGAGCATCCTAATTTTCATACTAGGGAGTACGCAGATGCGAACACAGTGTAAGACACAACTGCGACCCCAAACTGGTTCGAGCTCCCTGACTTGAGATGAGTGATAACAGACGAATGAGGAACGGCTGAGCTCTTCCTTCATCAAAGATGACTGTGGCAATCGCACTCCATGCCGATCGAGCCTGGCAAATCACATCAACTGTTAAATCCCCTTGATTGAACAATACTGGTAGACAGCTCTCGAATGTGACCGTTTCCGTGAACTAAATGTAGTATAAATTTGCCATGCGATATAGCGCAGTGCATCACAGAGGCAAGCAAACCATCACAGCAAGCCAGTCCCAGTCATGACTCAGTGACTCAATTAGATGGGCCACTTCTGAGTACGTTTGCCGCGCGGAGATTGTACAAAATTTTTACATTCGGTAAAAATGAGTATGGATGCGCACTGCGTGCAAAAGCATTTTGGACATTCAATAACAAAACAAGTGAGGGGTTTTAAGATTCATTAAACATTAAAGAACAACGTTGACAGCATGGTCTCTGAGCTAACCATTCCCACACATAAGTGATAATGTCCTTAGAGCAGACCCAGTCATTCAAAGAAAAAGTGCTTCGGATATCAGTCAATCGAAAGCAACTGACATGTAAGATGTAAACATCCTCTTATCTACACTCACTTCTAATTCGGTGATGGACAAATTGTCGCCTTCGAGTAAGGGTTGCGCACCGTACTCCACTGTCGAGGCAGAAAATGACGGAGTGGTGACTTGTGCTGAAAAAGGTCTTGGAGAGGGTTGGTCGAAGGTTGCCGTATACTCAGCATTCACATACTGCTGAGAATCAAACAACCGATACCAGAGAAGATTTTTGTGACATTCCAATTCGGATCGTTTGATCACATGAAGGACCCGTTCTTGAATAATTGCTCGAGCCGACTCCAGCGCGTGCTGTACTGGAACCTGATGTGCAGGCCAGGTCCCCAGATAGGAGACGTGCAAACGTACCTCCTCCTCGGCTGTATCTTTGGGGAGAGGTGGTGCACCATCAGAAGCGGCGTCATTCTGCTCACGTTGTTCCTTAGCGGTTAGTTCTTCCAATCCAAGATCAGTTGTCAGAGACGTGTATCTGCTGCGGCTTGAGGAGGATGAATGAGGTCTATAAGGCGTACTAAAGGTACTAGGACCTTGGTTGCTCAAACTGCGGCCTAATTTTGGCCCCAATTTCGATAGTGGTTCGGTAGTCAAATCCAAGCAGGGCGCGACAGCAGGCCACTGAATCACGTTTGTAATCTGGGGATGAAGAAATTCCAATAAAGTAGAGAAACAGTGGAAGCCAAGAAAATAACGATTTAATCGAGGTACAAGAAATTAAAGAGCCGGTATCCGAGTGGTCTGCATGCCTGGTTTGCAGACAAAAGAGCACCGGTCTGAATCCGCGTAAGGGCGGGCGTCTTGCAGCATACTCAGCCCACGCGCGAATAGTGGTGGTCGCGCGGCAGTGAAGCGCCGTTACGACGCACAGCTGGCGATTTACCTCATTTTTTAATTAAACGAGTTATGGGTAGAACAGAAATTCGCTAACCGCTATGAACGATGCAATACTATTAGTGAGTAGCAAGGTGATTTATGGTATTTTGAAAATATTCGTCGCAGCTATACTTAGCCAGGCAGTCACCACATACCCAGGAGAGCGCTAGACGGGCGTTTCGTCCTACTGGGACACGTCGGTAGTGCGCAGTCACCAGATTCGAACGACGAACCTTACTCTTACTAGTCAGCGACCTATGCCATTGTACTGTCATCGTCGTGTTAATTTGCTATTTTTTGCCCGACAATAAGCAGTCGCGTGGAATGGATTCGAAAGTGATTAAATAGTAGATAATCGGAAGTTCAGATGGAGTTCACGGTAACCTGAGTAGGCGCACAACGAAAGCATACGGGCAGTGGCGATTTAATTCTGATGAGTAAAGGCAAGAAAATGCAACAGTAGCACGCCGGTACGTAGTACCGACGCTCCGCAACCACCACCATTTGCACGTGAGCTAAGGATACTGTGAGGTTCATCCGGTCCTCTAAGCACGCACGAACCCGCGCCCGAGTATTTCAATGTAGGCCTGTGATACTTAAGGCTACGGGTCGGCTTATGTGAGTATATCAAGCAGACAGTGAACAGATGCGTAAAAGAATCGAGCAAGAGGGCTACTAGCGGGCAAATATGACATGGTCGATGGTGTGCCGCGAGTTCCTCGATGTTTGATTAACTTAGTCAAAGGAAGAACCTGATCGCACCACATAGTAACTTTTTAATGGGATTGCATGGGCAATATATACCGAGGAGTTCTGTGTGATAAACATGCTGTAATTTTCGTTGAGTTAACTTTGTCGAATAAACGACTGTCCTTGAAGACAGACTTCTACGACATGATGTCAGAGAAGACCAATACGAAAGCTCAACTAACAATATTCCCGTGCTTCTTTTGAGTAACCCGAGGATTATGTGAAGGCATGCGGTAATATACATATATATATATATATATATATATATGTATATATGTATATATATATGTATGTTTATGTATATATATATAATATATATATATGTATATATATGTATATATATCATCATTGTTCACGAACGTACCTTTGGAAGAAACACTAGATATAATAGCCAAACACGCTGATAAAGTTGGGTTCCCAGCGCTCCAGCTAAAATCATTACTGCGCCTATGCAAAAAAAATATTCAGTTCCGGTTCAATGGAACCCTGTATCGACAAATCGACGGCGTGGCCATGGGCAGCCCACTGGGCCCAGTTTTGGCTGACATCTTCCTCGGAAACTTGGAAAACACTGTGTTAGCTTCTTACCTACAAAATGTACACCTTTATTGCCGGTATCTAGATGACACATTCATCGTCGTTGACACACCTGAACAGGCGGCGCACTTACTGAAACCGATGAATATGTGCCATCCAGCTATCAAGTTCACAATGGAAAGCGAGTCCGACGGATCTTTCCACTTCCTAGATGTTAACTTACAGAGAAAGCCAGATGGTACACTCGTTCGATCTGTGTACAGAAAAGCAACATGGACGGGGCAATACTTGAACTTTAATAGCTTTTGCCCAATGAACTATAAACGAGCTCTAGTACGTACCACTTTTGCTAGAGCTCGCCAAATTTGCTCATTAGACACAATCGAACATGAACTAGAACGAGTCACCTTGACGCTACAAGAGAATGGGTATCCAGCGCGATTTATAACTCGACACGCAAAAGTACGATCCGGAGATAAAACACCAACCGATGTCCCAAAGAAAAGAGTATTCATTACACTGCCCTTCAAAGGAGATCAAGTTGACCGAAGATGCAGGCATCGCCTCCGTCAATCGATTAAGAAGTGTTACCATGCGGCTGAGCTAGTGGTATTGCATCAAGTCAGAAGGCTGCTCTGTAAATCCAACCTGGACAGACCAGACTCTCAAGTTACCGCCTCTTGCATTTACCTCTTTAATTGTACTTGCGGTAGCAAGTACGTAGGCCGAACTGAGAGAAGGCTGTCAGCGAGGATTGCAGAGCATGTTCCGCGAAACATGATTGCTAAGGGTCCGAAGCTACCAACTAGCTCTATTGCCCGCCACATCCTAGACTGCCCTGAATGCCAGAACCCACGTGGCAATTTCAGGGTAGTTAGTAAACAGGCTAATCCCCGTTTACTACAGTTTGCGGAGGCGGCAGCAATTCGGCGGCTGAAGCCACAGCTATGCAAGCAAACGGATTTCGTGACCACGCTAGCCCTACCCTGGTGAGGCTAGCGATTGCGTTTTCCTCGGAACAGGTCACGTGAGCCTAAAGACCTTCGACCGCTTTGAATTTTTGCTGTTAACATCGCACTGTTTTCCACTCATTGTATGTAAACAGCTGAGGAGAATACGCGAAATTACTGAATTCAGTAAATTCTGTTATAATGTTGTTTCTTCTTGCTTTATTGAAATTCGTGAAGGGGAATGCCTGCATGAAATATATGTATATATATATATATATATATATATATATATATATATATATATCCTTTCGCGTTTTGTATGATATGCAGACGATATTTTTGCACATTGAAAAACACAATGCATCATTGCAAGCCAAGGCACAAGCAGTATTTTCTCCTTGCGCCTATCCGGTGACGATGCAGCTTCGAGCACCGGCCAAGCTGAGGTTGGAATTGCGCTGGGTCCCCGGGCTGAAGCTGCTCTGGTTGATTGGATTCCAATCAGTAGCTGGATGTGTGCGGTCCGATTGGCTGGCTCGTTCGAAGCTTCGAAGTCGCGCGGGACTAATAGGTGTCTATTCACCATCGCTGCCTACGCACCCACAAACTGTAGCGATGATTCGGTAAAGAACGACTTTTACCGCCAACTGACCCAGCTCCTTCGCCACAGAAGAAGCACGGACACTGTTGTGCTGCCTGGGAATCTGAACGCTCAAGTTGGAAAATTATTCACTGATGAACTATATCTGGGCGGTCAACACTGTGTAGGCTCCCGTAATGATAACGGTGAGCGGTTACTTCATTTGTGTGAAGATGCCCGCGTATTCCTTGCGAGCACTAACTTCCGACACAGCACCTGCCAAAGGGTGAATTGGCGCCCACCAGCCTCGAATCACATTGCGATAAGTTACTGATGGAGAGGCTGCGTCCAGAACTGTCGCTCGACAGGGAGCACACGTGTGTACACCGATCATGCATTTGTATGTGCTGACATGCGGATGCGCTTTGGCGGACGCCCACGAAGACGCGGTGAGCGCATTGACACCAGCCAACTGACAAAACCAACTGTTCTGAATGCGTATCGAAGTACGCTGACATGCGAGTTAAGTAAGCGCTCACTGGAGACAATTGATGGCCACTGGTCACATGTTCATCAGACCTTACTAGCAGCAGGCAAATCCTCATGTGGTATGTCTAATAGCCAACATGGATATTGGGTCTCTTCGCGGTCTCTGGAACTTATCGATGCTCGCCGGCATATCCCGGTTGGAAGCGAACACAATGAAACTCGCAAAGAGCTCCGGCAAGACTCCGTGCTAGCCTGAAGAGAGACCGCGAATCTTGGTGGTCTCATCGTGCGTCAGAGATGGAAGTGGCCGCTGCCCTTGGTAACCATCGTAAGTTATTCCGTCTGATACAGGAAACGGGCAGCAGGAGACCTGGTGTTAGTGAAATGATACGTGACGAGAGTGGACAACCTATCCACAATTTGTCAAAACGTTTAGAGTGTTGGGCTGAGCATTTTGAAAAGCGATTTAATCGGATAGAATTGTTCGATTCTTTGCCGGCCAGTGATCGCCCTACTCCGTGGGCTGTCTCTTTGGATCCACCCTCTCGTTCAGAAGTCGCACGTGAGACCGGACTGTTGAAGTTGAACAAAGCCGCAGGATCAGATGATCTTCCTCCAGCCCTCTTCAAATACGGAGGCTCTGCTCTTGTTGATGCTTTACATGAATTACTAGTGAAACTGTGGGAGCAGGAGACTGTCCCAACCGACTGGAGCCGCTCCGTTATTGTTCCCATCTTCAAAGGAGACTCGCGTTCGGAATGCGGCAACCACAGAGGAATCAGTCTGATCACCATTGCCTCCAAATTACTCGCCTCTGTAATTCTTCACATACTGACTGGCTCTCGTGAAAGCCAGCTTCGTGAGGAGCAACCCTGGTTTCGTCGTGGTTGTGGCTGCATCGACCACATCTTCACCTTGCGTCAGTTGTTGGAGCACCGTCACACATATTGGCGGCCCACCGTAGTCGTGTTCTTCGACATCAAAGGTGCTTTCCATTCGGTTGATCGATGTGCCCTTTGGAATTGTCTACTCAGGAATGATGCCCGAGAAATATGTAAATATTATCCGAGCATTATACGCGCGTAGCTCGGGCAGAGTGAGGGATTACGGCAAGCTGTCGCCACCCTTCAATGCATCCAGCGGTGTGAGACAAGAATGCCCGCTGTCACCTTTCCTCTTCAACTTCACTATTCACGAAGTCATGGAAATCGCGTTCACAGGACATGAATTGGAAGGTGTGGAGCTACTCCCAGGAGAACGACTTCTTGACTTGGAGTATGCAGACGACATTGCCCACATCTGTGACAGCTCCCAGACGTGCCAAGCCGCGCTGGACAGATTAGCACTGGCTTTGGTTTGCACAATAGAAATGCAAAGTGTTCATCCAAGATTGGCACGGATCGCCTCCTGCGCTGACCCTTGGTGACGATCAGCTAGAAGTCGTTCAAAAATTCAAC